AAATTTCCCTTCAGTAGGTTTTCGAAAGAGAGCATTTTTTGTTCTTAAGTCTGCTAGTTTTTTGCATTTCTTTAATCCAGTGGATCTCGTCAAGGTGGTTCCGTTGAATTGTTTCAGTATAATCATCAAGTATAGGTGTCTGTAATTTGGCAGTAACAAATTCTGATAGCCTAGAAGGAGTTTTTTTGTTCATTCTTTTAGTAGGATGATACGCTTCGGTTTCAAATCGGTTCTTAGTTAAATGCGTATCGTAAATCTATGTCGAAATCCGGTGTTTTTTGACCGATTTGTTTTATTTTCTAGCTGAAAAACTAATTAAGCTGTCAGTTCGTCCGGAGTTGAAGGTTTCCTCCTGATTACAAGATCTTCAGGGGAATCAAGTACTGGAGAAGCTAATGCTAGGGTTTTGGATGGCCTAGCATTTGCTTTTAATTCGCAATGCGAGAATTAGATTTAAAAAATTTAGTTTTTGCAAATCAGAATTTTTTGGAGTAAAAGTTTGAAATGCTGTGGCTTGGAGCTTTTCGGTTTTCATGGGAGTAGTAGTTGTTGTAGTAGTAGCAGTAGCTTTCGTAGAATTCTATTCCATCGGCTCAATCGGTATTCTAGGATTTAATCGATCCTGATTCTCAGATTTGTCTATTGGAGTAGCCTAAACGAAGTTTTTGCAGTCTTATTTTTTGTTGTTTTCTTCAATTTCGTTGTGGGTAAAAAAATAAAAGTCAATATTGAATTGAAAAGTTTAAAATATGAATGAAATCGAGGAAAATAACAAAAAATAAGACTGCAAGACTGCGAACACCTCGTTCAGGCTCCTCTAATAGATGAAGCTGAAAATCTAGATCGATTATATCCTAGAAGGCAATCAGTAGATTTTGATTCGCGAAGCCGAAATAAAAATCACCCAACCAAACCTGTAATCTCAAATCTGAATGTTATAGGAAACTTGGAGAGGTTTGAATTGGCGATTTTTGGCTGGATTTTTTAGGTTTTTGAGTATCAAAATTGACTGATTGTATTCAAGGATATAATCGATCCTGATTTTCAGGAGGAGCCTGAACGAGGTGTTGGCAGTCTTCATTGTTGTTATTTTACTTATTTTCATTTTGGTTGAAAAAATAGAAGCCACTGTTGAAGTGAAAAGTATTTTTTTGGATACCGCCAGCATTACTTTGATTAAAAGTATAGAGCAGCCTGTGATTTTGTTTATATGAATTGCTATTAGAATAAACACAAAGGCGTGTATTACGAATTTGAAGAATAAAAATGCTGCAAAAATCATTCCGGACTTTTCCAAATAGTTTTGTACTTTTCCGAAGACGCGGTTTATTTATTTCTCCAGAACTTGGGAGAAATAAGCTAGTCAAAGTATGAAATTTGAGTAGAACGGAAGGTACTAATAGAGTCCGAAAAGATTCTTTTTGCATTAAGAGAAGTTTTTGTTACTTCTTGTAGTATACTTTTGATTTTTTTTAGAAATTGTGCTCCAAAATGCCTCCGATATAGAGTAATATCAGCGGTTCACGCTTGGATTTTTTCTATTTGAATATCACAGGGTGCACCTGGGCGCAGAAAAAAAAACATTTTATTGGACGTCATTAATTGACAATCGAAATGAGCAATTTTTAATTGTTCGCAGTATTCGCATAAATATTATGCTTTGGATCGAAGTCAGTTATATGCTGAAGATGGATTAAAAGAGGGATAAGCCTTCTGAATAAATTTTCAAAAACAAAATTTTATGTTGGTTGTAGCATAGAATAGACGGTTTTTAAACAGACTAAACTAGCGGAGAACGAGAGAAGAGTTATACATACTTGAAGGAAAGCACCGAGTGTGGCGGATGAAGTATCAAAAAGCATTAAGTATCCTTCTTCCAATTCAATGTTTCTTTTGCTGTTCCCAGCCATTTTGTTGATTTTAACTAAGAAATTTTATTTTGGAAAAATAAGAACTCCTTGGTTTTGATATTTTTTTCATGAGAAGTTTTCAACGCAGGAGAGAAAAATTTATAGGGCGGGGGACCAATTTTTGGAGAGCTGTATTTGTTGCTTGATAAAAAGCAAAAAGAAGAAATTATTTTAATGTTAAACTGAGTTAGGATTTTAGAAGCACAGTTTGTGATGGAGAGAGAGCAACCTATAGGAATGTTGGGCGAACATTGGCTTTTATTAGCTTCATGGGCAACCTAATCTATAAATTAGACAGACTGATTCAAGTCTGGTTTCCCTCAATCTATATCAGAGCTGCTTTACAAACTCAATACCAAATAAAACTAATATTTGCTCCCTTGTCTCAAAAATAGACTAATTCGTTTTGTGGATTTTATTGTTTATGTATGGCTCATGTTTTTGATTCATAAACAAGTGGAGAGGCTACTTTAAATATTTTTGTTTCACAAGGCGATATAATAGTATTTGTCGCTTGTAATTATGTATCAAATTTGAGGCGAATAAATATGTTGCAATGAATTTTCAACTATTTTAAGGGCTGTTGTTCTATGAGCTATTAAGTTTTTACCATTTTTATTGCTCGTCATCTTCGCTGCTTCTCTCTCTTCACTGCTGTCGCTAAAGTCATCAACAGTACGGCTCTAAAATTCAGGCTTCGTCTCGCACACTGCTATTATAAAAGTTAACTTGTTAAGCGTCTCAGATTGATAAAATCCCTTGTTAGCTCGTTTTAGACAAGGGAAATTCTATCTACACTAGCCGGTATAGCCGAATGAGTTACCTTCTTGACGCCCTGGTTAATCCGTCCATTGCAGTACCGAGTTGAATATTTCAGACGTTGTTGCATAAAGTGTTTGAAGTCAGCAGTCCTTTTTGATATTTGCCTCTGTTAATTCTAATTTTTGAGAAAGTTGAAGCTAATAAAGAGTGAAAAGAAAAAGTTTCAGCTGAATAAACAAGTTGAAGCTAAAGTGAAAGAACCATTTTTGTTTTACATAAAATGAAGCAAATCACCCATACAACTAATTAATGGCAGCCAATCGTGATATTCAATATCTTAAATTTTCACTGAAAGCACAGCTATTCGTTTTCTTTCTTAAAATGACAAAAAGCTTTTGCGTACAATATTATGGTGCTGCGGAGAACCGTTTTTGCTATTCAGATACAAGGCTAGAGCACCAACCCTGGTAAATCGCTTTCCTCGATGAGGCTATGGTCGCCTATACAAAAATTTGCAAAAAAAAAATTTTCAAAATTTTTCTCGATACTCATAAAAAAACTTCAGTCGGTCAAATGATTGCGTGCTATAAACAAAACATCCATCTACTTCCGTTTGCTGACGTCTTTTTGAAGAGTTTGTTCGTTTTTGCTGGGAGGGGAGATAGCTCAATTGGTCATTACGGGGGGGGGGGGAGTTTGCTCAATTGATCCGAAATACTGTTTACTGCCACGTCATTGGAATCGTCGTTATACATAGGACCGTGGATCAGGGACCCATCCGTGTATGTATTCTTCTCACGAGGCTTAAAATACTCCTACTGAGTCACAATGCGTCATTTTTCTAAGACTTAACGTGACCTCTAATTATTTGCAACAATATAGAGGAAACTTTGATCTTCCGTCAGCAGATGGAGATTGTTGGAAATAATCTATTCACACACCACACCCTCAAAGGAATTGCATTTTTAAACGAGTAAGAATGATTAAGTAAATTATCTAAATTAAACAAATAAGGAAGATGATAATGATGACAGCAGTGTCATGTCCATTTAAAAAAAATTAATTTAATTTAAATTTTCATCTAAATTTCAATTTCTTTAAATGGGAAATTATAAGCGCAAAATAGGCAGAAAAACTGCTAAAAAAACAGACTAAAGAAAAGTTTAAATTTCTAAAGAAAAATTTAAATTTCTAAACAAAAATTTAAATTTCTAAATAGTTTCGGAAAAATTTAAATTGATGCCAACAATTTTATAATTTTCTTAAACAATTTTAATTTAAATTTATTCTTGTAAATGGAGATCACTGGATGACAGTAAAAATATCAAACCTGCTTTATTGGTCACAGTTAAGCTAGTCACGCCCTGTAACCACCTCCCTGGAAGTTGCATCTGCAGATTACTGGTGGTTCAGGATAGCATTATCATTTTGTACTGTTTTTAAGGTTCTTGGCCAAACATCCAATTTGTTAAACATCCGCTATGTGTAACATCCGACCTTGGATAATATCTACATAATATTATGACGCTAGAATTTCTTACATATAGTTCAGTTGGCCTGTTCTAATTTAGCCACTTCTTGGTGTAAGGTACCCTGTTTTTAAAGACAGCAATTCAAGACAATGTGTTCTGGCATCACGGTGTGGTTTGATAGTACAGAAATTCAAGAATGCCGTTTCGAGTTTGATCAAAAGGCGTTAGCTTAGTAAGAAACAAGGTTTAGATTTATTCGACTTCTGAATAATTGGTCTTTTAAAAGCTTTTTAACGTTAATAAATTTCGAGAGAAAAGCTAAAATTTTCAAAAAGAATGCCTTGAAGTAAAATAATTGACTATCTTGAGTTATAACTATGGCAGTTAAATTTGTAAAGTATACTTCGGGCGTCTTTTCACGATTGAACGATTCGACGCTGGTCGACAAATTTGCAATATAAATTTGGAAATTGAGTTCATCTATTTTTTTTTCACTGGCTCATTTTCATTTACAGCACAGACAGTTCATGTAGTTCGTGATTAATATTGTTGAAAGTATGTCATCTAGTGATAGTTTTGTAAATTTTTGTTCCCTTCTCAGGGCTCATTGTATATAATTTGAAGATTCATCTTTTGTATCATATTTTTTATTGTCAAATGAATTAGAAATGAGAATGAATTTAGAATTTCAAATGTTTTTACGAGCCAATTATTTTGTTTAGCTGACATTTGATTTCAATTACATAAATTGAAATCACTCAATGAGCAAAATATTCACCAAATATAGTATGACATTATTAGTATTAATGTCATGGATAGAAAAAAAATATTGTTGGATTTAAACGTCGTGTTTTTCAGTTTTCCGTATGAAAGCTATCTTAATCGGAGGTATAATTTAGTACAGTGAATGAAAAGAGTCGCACAAAATGGCAGAGACACAAGCCAACAAGCTCACAAATGAGCCTGACGTGTCCTTCACCTCAAGTGACATTTTCATGGCCGCTGCCAAAGGCCACCTGAAGAAACTGAAGTCGATCTACAAACAGGACCCAACCATCATTTACCATCGCGACGAAAACGTAAGGAAAGCATCAAAGTGCTGCCACTGACAAAATGCTTAGTTTCTTTTTTATCATCATCAAGATGTTTCAGATAAACGATCCTAAAATAAATTGCAATGTCAGATTTTGCTTTGTGATGGAAAGCTTTCTCACCGATAAATGATTAATAATAATAAAAAAGAAAACTCCCAACCCCAACCCACATCCTCACAAAATGAATTATATGGGAACATTTTTCATTTTTTGTTGGCTACGGGAACTCAATGGAGCCTTATGTATTGGCTACGGGAACTGTGTTGCTATTGGCTGTGAAATTTTGGCTACGGGAACCTACGGGGTTTCTTTGACAGAGGTATTTGCCCATTAGCCTTTAGTTTGTTAACAAGTTTAATTTGTCAGTGACTGTCTATGAGACAGTGACACCCATTATCGATAGCCCAATAAAACCGCTATGACTAAATTCGAAGACATAAAAACCTTTGGAATAAGTCCCTGATAGGGCAAAATGCACCTAGATAATTAACATAGAAAAAAAACAAATAAAAAAGATAAAACAGATAAAAAAGATAAGTTAACAGTTATGGCTTTGAGTTTATACAACTCTTTGTAGTTGGCGACAGAGCATACCATTCTCTTCATTCTACAATGTTATCCCCTTTTCTTGAGTAACTTTCTCAAGCTGCAGTTGAGATAAATGGAATAATAGAAATGACTGCTGCATAGATTCAAAGCCACGGTGGAATCCTTCAAGGGCATTGTTTGTCCTGGGGAGGTCGACAATTGCCGTGAACGAGATGTTCCACATATTCATGTCGAATCTCGGTTTCCTTCAGATCGATTTTTGGGTTTCTTTGCCTACCTTGGTATGGTGTCCACCAAGTTTTTTGTGGTGTCTTCTAAAGGTTGCCAAGTTTCGAAGCTTTGTTTATACCAGGTTTCACCACCAAAAGATGTTGCAAAACCAAGAGCAAGCAAAAGATTTACAGCTAGAATAAATTATTTGTGCAAAGCCTTTCAACATTTTTGCTGCGTATCAAGAACATCGCCTAAAAAATATGAAGGAAAGACTGAAAATTAAGAAATAACAAACCAGGCTACAAAGCAGCCATAGACGCTGTAAAAAGGGGTTCGAATATAGTACCGTTCATCGCTCCTGCTATCCTTAAACGTCTAACCGAAGATTTAACAAGCAAAAAAGAAAATTACATCTAATGATTGAGATTGTTTTTGATTAGTCCTTTTTAGTTTTTTTCTGACAAAAGAAATGCTAGTCCTTTAATAAACATAATACATTCGCTACCTTGTTGCTGTAAATTATCTGGGATAAGAGACTCTTGATTTGAAATTGAAGTCTTCAGATTGGATTTCAGGAACATTGAATTCTCGAACTTCACTTCAGCTGTTTTTATTAGACAACAGTCCAGCTCCTACCATTCAATCTTGGGCCTTTTTTCCATTGGGGAGAGATTTCATTCATTTTTGCCGCAGCCGGTACCAACTTGAGGAGGCGGTTGGCTCTCGGACCGCGCCAGCCGTGACCGAAGCGGGATTCGAACCAACGACCTTATGTGTTTAAAGCGCACGTCTTACCCACTCAGCCACGGCTGCTCCTACATTTCAGCTTGTTGACAAGGGTTGATAGATAAAATTACTTGTATCGGTACTGGAAAACATTACCGAATTTGAGTATCTTCCCACATTTCGTTTCTTGCCACAAAGACTAGGGTTTCTTGCCACAAAGGCTAGGAAGATGGTCAAATCGAGATTTTGAAGGTCCACCTCCCGGGAGATAATATTCGCTTCAATAATTCGATTCGATGTTCTCTTTAATGGCCACCAACATCTCGAATAGTTTTTGTCGATATGTTCTCGTGGATTTTGCTTTGTTGCTCAATAGAATATAGAAGGGTTGACACCGCGGAATCCTTTCGTTGGTGATCGAGAAAAAGGTAATACGAAAATGAAGCTGTTAAAAACGCGCTTGTGTTTATAACTGTTTTTCATCTCTTGAAAAATTCCCCTACCCACAGTACCATAGCAAACTTATACAATATTTACAGAAGCAAAGCTTGTGTTATAGTATGAACTCTCTTTTTTTCCAATCTAAGTGGCAAATATTGTTGCGACGCAAATATTGTTGAGATAAAATGAGTTCATTTTGATCAATAACCAGCTACTAAGTACAGTCAATGCTTAGGATATTAACATACTATTATATTACAAATAGCACTTAAGCTTCAAGATATCTTGGATCTGTAGCGTAGAGGTAGGGAAGGAGACCCGCAACAAAATAACCTGGGTAGGGTTGGTTATTTTTAATGAACTTTTTTTATTGCGGGTCTCCTTCCCTACCTCTACGCTACAGATCCATGATACCTTGAAGCTAAAGTACTATTTGTAATATAATAGTCTGTGTTAATATCCTTAGCATTAGTCAGTATTAATATCCTTAGCTCTATTAATTGAGACTTGTTAGTTGATAATTTTTTTTTGCAAATTGACTGGTACTGTTAATGAGTCATAAATGGCTTGCGTCACTTAGCAATTATATAGACTCATAATTGGCGTGCGTCAATTCAGAAACTTTGTAGACTCTAAATTTTACTCATTTTTTTGTTGCAGTTTAGTTTTTTTTTAATTCAGACCAATTTTACAAAAGTTGACAGCGTATGGGTATCCATCCTGAAATCTTTGGTTTGCCAAGCGAGAATGATTTACTAGACTACAATGCGGATGACATTGCTGCTCGAATAAAGCTCGATATTTTCAATAAGCAAATTATTATGCGTGGCTGATTATCCGCACTCATAATCATTCCAAATGGAGTTGAGGCTATAATTGGTCATATTAATTGATAACCCCAGTTGTATTATGGGTCATACTTTTGCCCTTTGTATGTGAAGGGCAACTTCGCCTCTGTGTTAAATTCATGTGACATGTTTGCATCAGAAGTTACCATTTAAACGACTAAATATATGTGCAAAATTTTTTGACCATTTCGTGGAAGGAAATGTTATTTTGGTGTGTTTTTTGTTCCGTCTTTCGAAGAAAAGGGGTAATATATATACCTGGGTAGTTTTTGTTTAATTCAGACCAATTTTACAAAAGTTGACAGCGTATGGGTATCGATCCTCAAATCTTTGGTTTAACAAGCGAGTATGCTTTCACTAGACTAAAATACAGATGACATCGCTGCTCGAATAAAACTTGATGTTTTCAATAAGCAAATTATTATGCGTGGCTGATTATCCGCACTCATAATCATTCCAAATGGAATTGAGGCCAACTATAATTGGTCATATTAATTCTTCTCATATGTTGGTACTTGCATCTGTTCTTGGCAGTACAAAATTTATAGTTCATCAAAAAAAAGTTAGAACAAAAACTATTCGAGACCAGTTAAGGAGCAGTCGGAATATTCAAGGCTTTGCCGTGATATACTTGCATTGTTTTAAGCTAAATATAGTTACAGAAATAAACGTTGGTTGGATGGATGTGAAGAAAGATAGTTTCTAACCTTGAATGTGTTTTTTTTAGGGATTTGTACCTCTTCATATCGCTGCTTTGCACAGCAAGTTAGAGGTTCTGAAGTTTATGATTGACAAGGAGGTGGAGTCAAAAAAGAACAAAGAACCAGCTGAAGCCAATGCAGCTCCTAAACCAGCTTTGGTAACTGTAAGAAGCCAGCATGGATGGACACCATTACTGTTGGCAATTAGTGCTCCGAAACAGACAAAAGCAGATGCTCTTAATGCCCATAAGTGTGTTGAGTTTCTACTGGAGAATGGCGCTGATTCAAACACGTGAGTCTGATTCGTGCCAATGCATTTTTGCATGATTGTCAGTTTTTGTAGGTGCAAAGTTTTTGAAAGTGATGAAGATTTCAGTTTAATTTCTGATCTGAATTGAAAAAAAAAACTGTTTTCATTGCAACCTTACTGCATCCAGGTTAACATTGCCACTGCGTTTGCGAGAAGTCGTAAGAGTCAACTTTTATTCTAGTGCAAATGATGATGGATCTTCTGCGTGTCACATTGCGACCTTGGAAAACATGCCTGATGTGTTGCGATTATTGATGAAATATCATGCAGATGTCTCAACAGCCGACAAAAAGGGGAAAAAGCCGATTGACTTAGCCAGAAAGAAAGGACACAAAGAGTGCGCCAGGTAACAATCATCTTATTTTAATTGGCCTGGAGTCGGATCAGTTTCATTGATTTTAAACATTATTTTTCTTCATGTTAAGTCCAATTCTAAAACAAAAGTCACGCGTGTTTCTGATGTTGAACAAGCGATCTAATAAGATAAGTCCATTTTTCAAAAACAACGTCGAATTTCTCATTGCAATGTTGTCTGCCAAGCTTATGCGTATTTCAACAGCATTATCTTGCTATATCAGCTTTAATAAAGCGCAGTTTTTGCTGCTGGGTACCTATGATTATTGTATGCGTGAAAGTATCGCAAGTGATGCGAAGCTCCGCTTCACCTTTGTGTTATAACTGGTTATTATGGCTCATAAACCAATTCAGACTTCTCAGTAAGTACAAAAATATACGAAGTGTTTTTGTTAGAGATATTCCCTGCACGCGTTTTTGAAAATACCGGATGCTGGATAATTCTGGATAAAAAACTTACCGGATACCGGATAAATGCAGAATTGATGAAATAATTAATTTCTGATCTGAATTGAAAAAAAAAACTGTTTTCATTGCAACCTTCTGCATCCAGGTTAACATTAATTATTGATGAAATAATTCCCGCATAATCATAGAGTGGTGGAAACATCATTATGAGAATCCTATTCTCCAACGAGGTTCGAAAAATTTTGAATTCAGTGTTTTTTCGAATGTTTTTTTTTGTCGAAAACCGCGGTCAGTATCAGGTAATTATCCTGTAAAATTTTACCGGATATCCGTGCCAGAATCAGAAGTTGCCGGATATCGATTCCGGATACCACTATCCGGTACAACTCTAATTTTTGTTTCGACCATTGGAAAGACACTTTGTATTTGGGTGTTTTAGTTTTTTCGTCTTAAAATCAGGTGCCACAAGTCATCGCAGGAATTGCTCAAGCCGTATTCGAATTAAAGCCTTTTCAGTCTTGATTCGGGCAATAAAGGTTTTTTTTTAAAAATTTTATAATCATGGTGCAAATAAATAAGAAATTATATACACCATTTTTTTTTTTCACTTTTTTTGATTGTCATTTATCCTTTGAAGATAAATATTGTCGATTGTGCCTAGAACACTATCTTTCTACGCGTTTTCTTAGTTCTCTAATCCTACCGTGCACTAAGAACGACGCTAATTTGATGGGAAAAAAACAAGACAAACTTTTTTGTAGCTATTTTATGAATGTCGCGGGAACATTCTTTCTGTTAACAGAAAAAATCAGAAAGAATTTAAGCATTGCGACCAATTACATAATTGAGGTTCCGACCACAATTATTGATTTTGATTTGGTCAGTTTTATTTGTTCCGTCGTTTTTTTTTCCACTTTTATTTTTGTCAGTTTTATTTGTTTCCTTGCGTTACTCATTTCAAACTGTCAGTTGGCTGTTTTTTTTTAACAATTAAAAGGTATTAATTAGAGCTCTGCTAGCGGGTGAATGGGGAACAAGTGACGAGTATTTCCATAGTGAAGTGACAAAACTTATGCACCTGAAGCGGTACAGAGACGAACTTAGACGAGAACTCGACATCATCACTTTGTTCGAATCAGACATCGAACGAACTCTCAGTTTCAAAGAGTGGCTCCAAAGCAAGGGTTACAAGAACGACGACGATAGCAAAGATGGGCCACCTAAGCTGCTTAGCGACAAAGTTGATCCTGGAAATGTAGTTGTGAAAAAACAAGACGTCGAAAAAACTCAGCAAACTGTATTTGGAAGGGCAAATCGAAACAAAAGCTCGGGCAAGTCTTCGAAGTCAAGTGAAATATTGAACCCAACTCCTTTTTCAGCACCTCCGAAACATTCGAGTTCGATGTGTAATGTTTGTAGTGGTCCCATTTCAGAGGTAAAAAGGGAAAAGGAAATGAAAAACAGAGAAGAAAATGCTCAAGTGGAGTTGCCTAACTTGAGGTCGTCGTTGATAGAATCTGTGTTGTTTGGAAGTAGCGTGAAAGAGTCCAGACCTCCAGCAACTAGATTCTTCAAAGGGACGTCCATGTTGGACCACAAGAAGCGACGATCTTGGAACAGCAGTGTTAGTAGTAATAATAGACTTGAGATGTCTCAAAGTGCGAATCCTTTCCACTCGTCAGTGGGATCAATTCTAAGAGAAGACCCGCCTCCAATGAGTTATTTTGATAAACCTCTGTCGAAGAAAAGTGACGTTTCTGTTCTTAAGGAATCGGATACTCTTCTGAACAATGCTGCCAAGGTGCCTATCATGTGGAAAGGCAAACCAGCCACGGTTAAGGACTACCTCCTCGAAAAATCTTTCATCTGCTAGAGTAATCATCTATTCAGTGCTGCCTTCTTCCACATTTATCATTGCTCTGTGCCTTCAAATTTTGCTAATTAACAATTCTTTATTTTTGTAAATACTATCAAAAGGTACATTTAAGTTGCGAGTAAATATCTGTTTATATGCCGATTTGTAGATATGTAAAAAGAATATTGATTTCTATCAATTTTTTTTGATGGGCACAAAAAGTTGTATGAACTATCATGTGATTGGAATCAGCACTGCACAAGTTGTTTGCATTAGTGATTTTCTGTTCTCTAAATGCTTTCAGAGTTGATTTGAGGCCATTGATTGGTAAACGTAACTAAATCGTACACTGCCATTCTTTTACATTGTACTTATCAGTGTCTCGCTTATCTACCAAAGGACGACTGCAGAAACTCTGATTTGCATTAAGTTGCTTTTAATTTGATCTCAAGGGTATCAAATATTACGAAATTCGAAGATGTTTGATGGTGTAGAAGCAGCACCGCCTGTTAAGGTGTTCCAACTAACAGCTGATTTCAAAGCGTGCACAGGGCCTAACAAAGTCAACTTGGGTGTAGGAGGTAAATATCATCGTTTCATTTTCAAAAGCTATTTAAATGAAGACGAAAAAGCTATAATGTAGTCCACAAAACGATTTAATGTTAAGAGTCGATGAAATTAATTACGCTTATATAGATCCTGATTTTTTTTTTTCAGAAAAAGTCTTGAAATTTGTTGACGCTCAATTTTGGTTTTTCGGGGTTTGACTTTGGAAGTTTAATTCAATTTCATTTTCAACAGAAAAGGAAGGCAAACTCCTCTAGCGCATGGTAAAAGTGTAAAGGTTACGAAGGACGTGATCGACTTCTAGTGGTTTAAAATTTCCAGATTTCCTAGCGGCTAAAAATGTTATTCTATTGATCCAGTTTTCTCGAATTGGGTTAATTTTATCAAAAAAGGTCAATCATAAAATCATAAATGTGGAAATTCAAAGAGTTTTCAGGCCATATATTTTTTCTTTGAATTTCGAAAGTTAGATTTTTTCCCTGCATTAATTGACTCTTTTTCAATTATTGACTGACTGTGTTTAGTATTGGCGTTGTCCATTCAGTTTGTCTGTATTCGAAATCCTTTTTTAAAGAAATGACCAAGAAATTTTTAATGGCCGATTATTAATAAACTCAATACGGCATTATTGGGCGATCCGAAAATTAATAAATATGGATCCAACCTATCTTGTTTGAGTCAATATTCAGACCGCATATAAAAAGTCTAACTTTATTAAGTTCAATGAACGTAGTGAAGACAATAGTATAGGTCGCTATCACTTTTTAAAGATTTTTTCGGGATTTTTTTTTGATTTTCGTAATTTGACTTTTGATTTCTTTTTTTTATGTTGATTCGTTTCTTTTGTTGAAAGAAAGGCAAACTCTACTATCGAAGAGCAAAATTGTAAAGACCACGAGAAGCGTGTACGAACTCTAGTTTCAATGTCAATTTTAATTGAAAGATTTCCCTGCGGAATGAAAAGAATTACCTTTTGATTCAGTTTTGTCAAGTTGGGTTAATTTATCAAAAAAGTGTCTATCATACATTATTCTTGAAATTCGAAGAGTTCTAGGGGCATATATTTTTTTCTTTGAAATTCAAAAGTTGAAGTTTTTCAAATTACAATTCAATATTTCTTCTCTTCTTGCTTTAATTGACACTTATCCAGCTTTTTGTTGGCTATGGTTTTAGTATCTATTATATATTTAAATGCGGGCTTCACTATCTCGCCATGTTTAAGCTTTTTCAACGTATTAATTTTGCATGTTTAAGCTATATCGTATATTGCAATGGTTAAGATTTTTTTTTTCGATTTTCCAATTTGATTTAAGTGGTTATTTTACCGAGTTTAAATTAAGCAGCCCAATATCGAATTAGGGGTTGCGAGTATGGCCTCTAATTTTAAATGCACGAATCATTTTAGTTAGCGAGATAAGACGATTTTTGAGATTTTTCAAAAATTTTCAGAAATTGCAAATAACAAAATAATTTACAAAACTTGAAGTTCCCAACCCTGTAGTTGGGTACTGTCAGTGTACTAGCAAGGGTTGCGAGTCTTGCCTCCAAATATGACTGCTCAAATCCTTGTAGTTTTCGAGATATGACGTTTTTTGTGATTTTTTCAAAAAGTTTTCAGAAAACTTAAATTAATTTATTTTTCGCAAAATCTGAAATTCCCAACCCTTTAGTTAGGTCCTGTCAGAGTACTCTCAAAGATTGCGAATCTTGCCTACAAATATGACTGTTGAATTCTTTGTAGTTTTCGAGATATAATGTTTTTTGTGAATTTTTCAAAAAAAAATTCAGAAAATTTTAATTAATTATTTCTAAAATCTGAAATTCCCAACCCTTTACTTGGGTCCTGTCAGGGTACTCTCAAATATTGCGATTTTTGCCTTCAAATTTGACTGCTTTATTCTTTGTAGTTTTCGAGATATGACGTTTTTTTGTGATTTTTTCAAAAACTTTCAGAAAATTTAAATTATTATTTTTTAAAAAATCTGAAATTCCCAACCCTGTAGTTAGGTCCTGTCAGAGTACTCTCAAGGATTGCGATTTTTGCCTCCAAATATGACTGCTCAATTCTTTGTAGTTCTCGAGATGTGACGTTGTTTGTGATTTTTCAAAAATTTAAGAAAGTTTAAATTAATTATTTTTCAAATTTTGAAATTCCCAACGCTATAGTTCGGTGTTGTCAGGGTACTCTAAAGAGTTGCAAATTTTGCCACATGCGACTGCTAAACGCGAAAAAATTCAAAAAATTTGTAATTACCAACTCGATGAATTTATAACCTTATTGTCAGTGTACACCCTGGCGTCTCAAATCTTGCCTCTTTTTTATGAATGCTGAAATCCTTTTAGTGTCCGAGATAAGATGTTTTTTTATATTTTTTTTCGGGAAACTGAAACTTAAGTTTACAAAAATTCACAAAATTTTGAATTCCCAACCCTATAGTAGGGTGCTCTCAGGGACTCCCAGTGGTTGCAAATGTGGCCTGCAAATTTCTCCAGAGGCCCATTAAGTTTTCGAGATGACGCTTTTAAAATGGGAATTAAAAAAATTAAAAAGTTCGAAATTACCAACCCTGTAATTGGGTGCAGTCAGAGTACTTTAAAAGTTTGCAGATGTTGTTTCCAATATATGCGGTTTGTCATGAGTTGTCGAAAAATTTCGAAGCACCGGAGGTGCGTTAAACGCTAGTTTATTTGAATTCTTAGAGCTTCTATCTTCACGCATATTGTTCATGTTGTAATTGCTAGTGTTGTTCTAGCCTACCAGACTAATGAGGGCAAGCCGTATGTGCTGAAAGTGGTGAAGGAGGCGGAGCAGAGGATATCGAAGGACTTCACCCTTACCCACGAGTATCTGCCCATAGATGGGCTGGCCGCCTTCACAGACGCATCCACTGCTGTCATGTTCGGAAAGGAGAGTCCTCTCGTTGTCAATAGAAAGGTTCCATTCACATTATTAAACTGGATCCAGTTTTATGATAGTTTCTCAAACTCCAAAAAATAAGGGCCAAACGGTTTAGCTCATATTACCAAGTTCCTTTGGTACTATTTAGAAGTTCTTTTTCACCAAAGCAAAAACTTTACTGAAAAAGAGATAATTGAAAAGCAATTAAGTCTAAAACTCGATCCAACTGTTTTCAGTTTTTTTTTATTCAGATTCTCATATTATACAATGGAACACTCGTTTTTAGTACCAGAATCCATTATTTTTGACTTTTTATTGAAAATTGTTAATTTATTAAAATTTATATTACTGTCTAAATTGAATTTTTCAAAGTCAAAATTAAAGGAATCTGGTATTTAAACGGAGTATTCCATTGTACAGTATGAGAATCTGAATTTAAAAAATTGAAAATAATATGGGAGATATGTTACAATAGGTGGTAATTTTTAGTATAGTGCATGTATTGCATTTCAGAACTATTATGCATAATATAGTCATAAAATCTAACTCACTAAAATAACAGAAATTACACTAAAATAACTTAAATAGTGCAGCATCCGCTGTAATTTTTGCAAAGATAAAATCCAATTTTCTTCTAGAATTTTTACGATGACTAAAAGTGAGTGTATTGTATTAGAGTTTGTTCAATTTTTTCCTCCTTTGCAATTTAGCTTCCCTAAACATTTTTGAAATTTAACAAGTTTAGCCGGTTGCTGGGCAAGTAGCACAGAATCTTGCGACCGCATTCTCAGCATTTTTTTCAAGCTAGTGTTTTTTCTTGTACGTCGTCATGTAATGATAGAAAAATACAGACGAATATAGATTTGGTGAATTAGGCATCATAATGAATTGCAGTTGTCTTCAAAAATATATAATCAAAAAAGATGAAAAAAATATCAAAAAAGTTTTTTTTGTATTGCACTAAAAGCTTCAATTACTTTCAAAAGATTTTTTTGCCTGAGTAGTTCTAAATAAGGTTTTCAAAACAAAGTGTCCCTTTAGTAAAATCAAGTAATATTTAGCCTAACTGAATTATTTTCATATATAACGAACGTTACTCGATCGCTTTTACTCGCTCAAAAATTGACGAAAAATCAAAAATTTCAAACCGGTTTTTCTCGACACTGTGAAATTTTTGGAAATTTTTTAATGTTTTTGGAATATGATTTATCACTCAACTCGATTCGATGATAATTTGTGATAGCTGATTTTGCGTGGAAAACAAAAAAAGTAAAACTCACCCGAATACAAAGTTCTTCCCAATTTTTTAAAGGGTCGGAACAAATACTCTGAATTTCAATTTAAATACATTCAGTGTTCAAAAAGTTCATATCGTATTATCTCTTAATTAAAGTTGTCTGAAAACCGGAAAAGTCAGACCAATTTTTCTCATTACACTTGCGAAGCGAGTGTATTAGTACGAACCTTCTTTTTTCCAATCTAAGTCGCAAATATTGATGCCACTTTTGGGGCACCTTAACAGTGTTTTCATAGCATGTGCTTTGACATCAAAATAAAAATAAGTTAACACAGTTGCGCGTTTTTAATTCATCAAGTAATTCATCCGAAAAACGTGATTTGTTTCAAACATAACAGTAATGAAAACTCGATTTCAGAAATTTTTTAACTAAATCTATTGAGCAGTTTTTTGGAATTAACAATTTATCCATATTTTTCCTTTATGCTTCGCGATTCTTTACGTTTAAAGCTAGTGTGGATACCTTCGGTTTGTTGTATTCCAAATTACTACTTGCAAAATTGAGACTATTTTTTATTTGGTGCCATTTTTGCTGAATAGCATTAGCGATTTATTAGCATGTGTAGCTGCTTTATTCGTGACTAGTGTTTGTCGGTTGTTATGCTTGCGTGGCTGAATGGATAGTGCGTGAGACTCAAATAGTTTGATTGCAGTAGGTCGCAGATTCGAGTCCTACACGTAGCCGAGTTTTTGCTAATTCGAGGCTTATTTCTTCTTCTCTATGTTTCACTTGATGGAGTTGATTTTTGCTAGTGTTCTCGCAAGTGTTCGCGAAGCGCAGCTTCGCCTCTGTGTTACGCAATTAACAAGCGTAATCATACCGGAATATAACAATTTTTCGAACTAACAACTTGTTAAATAGAATCACCTGATTTTTGTGTATCTTGGTTCATAATGAATACAAACTTCTATTTGGACTGGAGGCGAAGAATACCTCTGGGACGGCAAAAGTCTTGGTTTAAAATCTGACCAGCACTGCTTTTTTCAAACTGGAAATAATCCTCTACAAAAATTGTCGGCCTATGGTTTGTCTGCTTGTGTTTTTTCAACTTATTTGCCACATTGTAGAATTGATTTTCTTAACGCAATTTTTAATGTAGTTTTTCAGGATTTTGAATTACTCCTGCAATTTTTAATTTTACTAGCCTTGACTGTTTGTCATGAAAGTTTTTTGACGACAATTATATTTTGGGTTCTACGGGAGTCGGCTCAGTTGACGCTTGTTAATTGTTTTTCGAATTTTCATCAATTGTCGTCGATTGTGTTTCTGGACGTGTTTTCCGCAAATAGAACCTGATTCCAGACAATATTTTAAATTTTTTAAGTTGTGGTTTTTGAAGTTTCATTCTATTTTTTTTACTTAGTGGCTTTCTTTTTCGGTCTGCTAGATTGCACTGCAAATTTTCTGTTCATCGATTATTTTCATAGATTTTCGAATTGCAATTGAAAGGGCTTAAATATGATACCAGCGTTATTTGGTGTGCGTGGGTTTTGTTGAAAATAAAACTCCCCCTAGATAATAGTTCTTTCCCAGCCTTCAGGATTATGTGGGAACAAAAAATGTAGTTTTTTTCGTGAAAAAACATATCTGAAGTTTGTCTCAGTTACTTACATGAGATATAAAATAGATAAAATCAGCTACCTGTTTTAGTACATAGCAGTTCAGTGCCTCGGAGGAACGGGTGCTCTTAGATTGTGCTCTGAGTTCATGTTCCAGTGTCTCAAACGCTCAGTTGCCTACGTTTCGAAACCCACTTGGCGTATGTTTATCAATTGGTTCATTTTGAGCTCAACATCATGTTATGTTTTTAAGTATTGAAGCTTTCCTTTTTCAGCAAATCACAACGCTATTCTGAAAACGGCAGGCATCACTGACGTTCGATCCTATAGATATTGGGATCCGAACACCAAATCAGTCGACTTCCAAGGAATGGTTGAAGATCTCAAGGTAGTTGAAAGAAAATACCTTCAGCTTAAAGACAGAATCAGCTGAAATTTCAGTCAAAACTTCAGAGAGCAAAATTTCCTTTTTGCCAGTTGAAGCTGTTATTAGTTGTTATTAGCACCCTCCAATATATTCAATTATCTTTGGATGCTGGACATATGTTGTGTTTTTCCTATCCATCTTTCTTGAAATGGTATGATGTCTTTAATTGGAACTCTTGATGAGTTTGTGAGGGATCTCTGGGCTGTAATGGAAGATATTCAAAAAAGTTTAGAAGATTGACTTTTAAGGGAGTTCCCGAATATGCCGTGATATTTCTACATGCTGTGGCTCATAACCCCACCGGAATGGATCTTAGCACAGAGCAATGGCAGGAAATCTTGGATATCCTAATAGTTAGTATTTGAATCAAAGAGTGAAAACGAATATCTAGGAAGTGCGGCCATAATATATTCGTTTAATTATTGTAATAAAGGTATTTTAAAATTATTTTATTCACTTAGTATTCTTTGAACACAGTCGTTTTTCTGATCGTTCTAATGATTCGTTTAAATAGCCAAAGTGAGCAGTTTGAATGGTTGTTCGAAAATATACAAAAAATCCCCATTATAACAGCTAACTTTCTAATGATCCTATGTTGCACGTTTAGAAGAGAAATGCGACGATAGTGATGGATACAGCGTACCAGGGCTTCGCCTCTGGAGACCTTGACAAGGACGCAGCTTCAGTGCGTATGCTGGCAGACAAAGGAGTCGAGTTCTTCGTCTGTCAGTCCATGTCCAAAAACTTCGGATTGTACAGTGAGTTGCAGAAGTTTCTGATCCACGTTTTGACTTCGGCATGAGCGCCGATTAGAATTTAAACCGAACGTTCTCGATAAATTGATAAAAGAGAACTGACAAAGCTAGAAATGTGTTCGTTTCGCCCTCAGCAGATTCCTTTTACTGCCAAGTCAGTCAGAGTCATTGAAAGAAGTGAAAACATTTATTTAGGTCGGGTTGAGTTTTTTAGTTGTTTACGCTCAAGTGTTTTTTCTAAATTTGCTTAAAGGAAGACAAATTACGCTTTTAATTAACCTCAATGCAAATGGCGCAAAAATTTTTCACTTTTTGTTTCGAAAGTGGATTTCAAATTTTAGATTTCACTGCGGAATAAAAATTACGTTTTGATCCATTTTGCTCAAATAAGGATATTTATATCAAAAAACTGTCAATCATGAAAGATAATTAAAATTCAAAGAGCGTAATATTTTGTTTTTCCCAATTTTGAAAGTGAAAAATAATTTAACAAAGTCGTATTTTTTTGGTTTTCTTGAACTCATCGAAGCGTTTCCAACTGTCTTTTTTTTGTTTTGCAATGACTAAGGTAGTCGAATTATTCTGGTCTAATTCCACTGCAAATAGCATTTGTTTTTGACTAAAACAAAATCTGATTAATCAATTTTATCAATCTTGCATTTGAAGATTATTGTTTCCGGTGGTTCAGCTCGAAACAATCTTTCCTTTGCTTGTGTTAAGCCAACATGATGAAATCGGGTTATATTTGATTTTCAAACAACTAAAAACGGCTAATGTAGAATAAAATTAATTTATATTGCCTGTAATTTAAAGCATGTTTGCAATATGCAATAAAATGTCCAAGAGCGGTGATGAAGTCAAAAATTGGTGGTTCGAGGATGACCTTACGTAGTAAATGTTGCCGGAATAGTAAAAAAAAATAAGTCCAATAAAATAATCCAATAAAAAAGTAATGCTTAAGAAAGGAAACGTCTGTGGTTTTTGTAAAAAGTCAAATAGCTTGTAATCTTGTCGGCTTAAGGTGTAACAGTTCACCAAGGTTGTTCAGAGCAGTGGGCAATGAAATTGACTTGGAGAATGAAAGTCTGTGGTTCGGTTTTTGCTGTCGGCTCATTTGTTGTCGGCTTAGTTTCCGTTTTGTTTTTCGAAATAATCAATTTATTGCTATTAGTTTTATAGTATTGTTTCAAACTTTTGTATATATGACAATCAAACGAGTTTTTTTCGCTGACGAATTTGTTACAAAAGAGTATATCTGATTTATAGGAGTGCGTGTTCTTGTGCAATGACGCATATAGAAGCTGTATTTAAAATTCTCTATGCTTGCGATAAGCAAGCGGTATCAAATTGGACCTTTTTTGAGGCTAAAAAGTTGTCTTACTGAACTGAATCATTTCACGCCAACAGACATGTATCAGCCATAAATATATTTTGAGGATGTGTGCGTTTTTAGTAACCGTTGTTTTTACACCTTCGAGGTTGCGAGCACTTGTGTATTAGTACGAACCTTCTTTTTTCAAACTTAACTCGCAAATAAAAGTGTTCATTAAAAGTGTTGTCCACTTGTATTTGGTTGCACTTATGCTTTAATCACGATCTGTAACAAAATTTCATAGTATCTGTTCTCTGCTTTATTTGTGGCTAGTGTTAGTTATTTATTAAGCTTCCAAGGCTGTTGGTTAGTGCGTGAGACTCTTGGTCGCAGATCGAATCCGTAGACGGATTTCTACTACATCGAGGCTTATTTCTACCTTTTTGTTTGCATTTCATAGAGCTGCGTTTTGTCGTGTTCTCGTTAGTGTTGGCGAAGCGCAGCTTCACCTGTGTTGAATTTTGATTTCATAATGGTTATAAACTCCGACGTTGTATTCGATGCTTGTAAAATCCGATTTTGTATTATATCTTTTTGTTTTTTGTTGATTTCATATCAGTTTAGTTGTCTCATATTACGTTGATTGAATAGCTAAAATAGCTGATTTTAGAGGGATATGCGAAACTGAAATTTTTCAAGTTTCAAGTTTTTTTCATGTCCACTCAAATTTTGTCGGCCCAAGTACTACTTCGTAAATTATTTGTAAGTGCTTTTAGCGGACGCCTTTAGGTGGAGACGGACCTTAAGTGGCCACGATCACTTTTGCAGAAAAATTCTGCCTTTCGGAAAGTTGATTTTTTGACCGTTTTGTGGAAACTCTTTGCCCTATCAAATCTGAGATTAATCGATTATTCAATCGAAAGAGTCGGTTGCTTGAATTTTTTGCATAAGTAGCAGATCCTGATTTTTTAAGACAATGTGATATCATTGGGAAAATTTTATTTTCTCCAAAATTTTCATGCTTTCTTATTTTAGTTGAAACTTATTATAGGCAAATTCCAATTTTTGAAATCAGCCATTTCATCCCGCTTCAGTATAACAAATTCAAACAATATTTGAAAAGGTACCTTGTTATCTTTTATCGAGACATAGGAAGTTTTGCTTAACTATTTAAACTTAGTCTTAATGCAATGTAATAGCTGCTTGGTGAACAAACTAACTATTGTGAAAAGATTTGTTCTTTATACTTTGCATCATATTATCACGCATTTAGCCATAATATTTCGTAAATTAGCTTCAAAAATAGAAAAATAGAAAAGTAATTTTTCATCTGTTTATTCTTGCTATTTGGAATACAAGAATATTGTAAGGGAAAGGAGTTTTAGAATAAGTGTTTAAAATTCTGGCTCTTCCCAGCTGAAAAATTTAATTGCAGTTTAGAAAATCAAAAATCATTTTGAATAGGTTTCCAGAAATTGATTTAACAAAAATCAAATAGGGGACTGGAAAGAGCCACAATTTTGATTCATTTAAGTTTGCGCTACAGTTTTTCTGGTTTTCAACGGTCTGAAGCTAGCGAATAGTGGAAAATACTGCCAGTTACACTTTTAACAGCATGCATTTGTCTTAGTCGTATAGCTTTGTTTTCTTTTTGTTCAGTCAATTAATACCATATTTGTTTTGGTACGTTCACCAAGCAAAATTTGCAAAAGGATTATCTCGTCGTAAAATTATTTGATAGCGCGAGGAACGTAAGTATCTGCGTCTCTTTCGCATTTGTTCACCGCCTGCTCTTCCTATTGACCAGCTGGCTCATCAGCTCCTGTCTGACCTTGAACTCTTCTTTTTGAATCTCCTTGAGTTTCTCCATTTTCTCCTGCTGTCTGATGGTCCTGGGATCAACGTATCTCTCCTTCACCACCCAGCTCTCGTTCTTCAGCTGCTGGATTCTGGCCGTCTGATGCGGAATCGGATGCAATTGTAAACAGCTGCGAGGCTTCAGTCCCGTGATGGGCTTGGGTTTGTCGATCGGGTTGTTTTTGTAAGACTGGAACGTCTTCTGCAGCTCCTGGTTTTCAACCCGAGGCAGGAAGCCGAGAGTGCAAGCATGGAAGTTCATATCTGCCATCTTGGGTTTTTAATTACTTTTTGAGCTTTTTAATTTTTTTTGAGGCGTTCTGGTTTTAATTTGGTACGATGGGATGTCAAAAATATGCAGTCTAGTATGCAGTCAAGGTTGGTTAGTTAGTTTTTTTTGGTAGTTTTGCTTGTGTTCAGTTCAGTGAGTGTATAAGTGAGTGGATCAATTTTGTTTAACTGCACGTGCGGGTTCAGATTCGGCGGTGTATCTTTTTTCAAAGTTCTTGGATGTTTTCTCAGCAAAGGAAAAAGAGCCATAATTGATGTTCAGGTGAGGGGAGGAGGGAAAAGTGAGCTGAGAAATTTAGTTTTAAAAGTATGAAGTATGTTCCCGATGTCGTGTAGGCTGTGTTGTTATACGAAAAAATGACAATGGCCATCATTAGTCTTTTGCCCCGTAGACGGCTGAATAGTAAAAAAAATTCTGGACTGTCGATTTATAGTGAATAATAGAGTTTTAAGCACCAATAGCCCGATTGAGGACTGAAGTAACACCTCTGAGCAGGGGCGGATCTAGAATTTTTTTTTAATTTCGAAAGTTTTGTCGACCTTTTTTTAGGTCGTTCAAATTTATTTTCTGAGCTCTCCCAAATCACGTATAAATACCCTATTTTTAAACTAAAATTCTTGAGCCGCAGACAAAATTTGTGAACAACCTGGCCAAAAAAGGCGTTTTTAGGCATTGTTTTGGAAAATTTTGATAAAAAAATTGTATTTCTTCGGCGCGCGCTCCCCCTTCAAAATTAGTATAGATTGGCGCCAAAGGCGCCTTCAGAAAAATTTTAAGGTCAGTCAGTCAAAATGGATATCTCAAAATAGTACAAAGTGGGACTCGTTGGGTCGGCAGGTTGTCGAATTCCAGAAAAAAGAGTCCCCCCTAAATCCACTGGTGCCTCTGAGTGACAAAAGAGGTGGATAATCATCATCATTATGTTTTGCTGTGTTGTGCAGATGAGAGGGTGGGCAACATGATAGCAGTGATCCACAATGCGGACAAGGTGGAGGCCGTTAGGAGTCAGCTGAAGAGGATAGTGAGGGCCAACTGGAGCAACCCGCCCTCTCACGGGGCACTAGTGGTGGCCACCATCCTCAACGACGAAACACTAGCACAGGTCAGAAAAGAGAGACGAGAAGAGACCAGATAAATTTAGTGTCTTTACCATTATAGCCCCCATCCTAGTGAAGAAAAAATTGTACCATCCACGCCGTGATTTTAATTTTGCGGGGCTCTATTTTGCTTGGGGCTCGGGCTATAATGAGAAAGACCCCAATTTAAACAGACTTTAATGTGCCAATGAACGAAGTGTCTTAGGTCGTGTGTATTTTTCAGGAAAAAGTTTTGAAAGCTAGTTGTTCACGCTAAAATTTGATTTTTTTTTTCGGCTTGAACTTTTCTTTTTAAATTCAATTCAAATTGATTCTCTAAAAGGAAGGTAAAAAACGCTGTCCGATTCACAAAGTGCAAATGGCGCAAAAAAGTTTGAATGACTCGTAGCTTTGAAACTGAATTTTAATAGAATTGCCAGCTCAATAAAACAATTTCCCACTGATACAATTTTCTGATTGGGTTATTTTAGTGAAAAAAGTTTTAATTATACTAAATTTAAGTTAAAAAAGCTTTTTATAATACAGTCACATTATTTTGTTTGGTTTTCTTGAGTTATATACCTTTTCCAACTGTCTGTTGGTTTTGTTGTAGATTTCAGTGAAATGAAAAGTTTAACCAATGAACAAGTTATCTTTTAAACATTAGATAATTTTCCAAAAGTATCAATGATAGAAGATTTGGAAACTGAAAGAGCTTTATGGCGATGAAGTTTTTTTCTATGCAGGTCAAAGCATTACACGAAAAATTATCTGTTTTGTTCATTTAGTTTGGCTATATTTGCAAGTATCTTTCTGACAGATGATACATTAGTTATAGAAAAAATGTGAAGCTAGTTATTTATTTGACATGTACTTTTGAAACTTGTGAAAAAAATTGGCTCTTCCCCCCCCCCCTTCTCACATCAGCATCAATTTTATGGTCTAACGACTAGTTTTACAGGGTTGATTATGAATATCAAATATGTTTATCATGGCCTAATTAGTCTGCATGTCAATTCTCATAACAATCGGACAATTTGAACAGTTATTTTAATTATAAAAACTTGCAGGTGGGGGGGGGGGGGGGGGAGGAGGAAAAAGAGCCAAAAAACTAATATAACACTTGAATATAACGCTTTGTGGAAATGTATGCAGTTTTTGGTGTTGCAGCAGTGGCGTCTGGAGCTGATGGAGATGGCTGGTAGGATTAAAGACATGCGACAGCTGCTGTACGAGAAACTGCAAGTGCACCAGATCACATGGCCGCATGTCATCAACCAGACCGGCATGTTCTCCTTCACTGGACTCAACCGTCAGTAGTAGACAATTCTCCCATTACTACCATCTATATACGACCGTTTGTAATCAAACGAAGTATCTGATTCAGTCTTTTAAACTAGGGTCTAATGAATTTCTTGGTTGATCCAAAAGTCAATGTTGATCTAAAAGTCAATGTTGTCTGCAGCGTTGAGAAAAAAAAACGTTTTTTTTTTAATTGAAAAAATCAATTAAACAGCGTTTTTTTAAAATAAAAAACATGTTTATTGTTTTTTACAGTTTGTTCAGTTCTAACTTTCTGCCCTGATACCGATGGTCTAATAGAAATGCGACAAGAAAACGACCTTACCATATAATTGAATGAAAAAGAATTGTTTCAGCTGCCCAAGTCAAGTTCTTACGAGACGAGTACGACGTTTTCCTAATGGAGGATGGACGGGTGAACATGTGCGCATTCACCACTTCAAATGCCCAGTACATTGCGGACGCCATTGCAGCTGCCGTTAATAAGGCGTGATTGACATTAGCCATCCAGCACTGACCAAACAACTCTTAACTGTTCATATAAGATGTTGACCTGATCTTTTGTAACTGTCGAAATTATGATAGTTGATTCTCAATGCACTTGAATAATGACTTAAATATTGATTAAAAACATATTGATTAAAAATAATTGTTTGTAATATAGCAAAGTTTCTGTTTTTAATTTGACTTCTATGGACTTACCTCTACAAACATCTATAAACTGGCCAAACCAACAAAATTTCGTGTTTATAAAACGTTTAGCCACTGGTAGGTTTCAAGCTCGCGGCCTTTTTTTCACTTTCTTTTTTCTTGTTTCTGCTTTCTAGTAATTTTAAAGTAGCAGACTTAATCGAAGTCACACAATTTTGTGACCATTTTTTGCATTGATATTTTGCCGTTCAAGCATATGAACTAGCTCTAAATAACAATCGATGCAGAGGATGTTATTAGTCTTGAAACTCTTCCAACTTTCGAAGATAATATCCGAGTACTTAATATTATCTGTGCGATCTGATTTCTTACTAGCCGTTTATACTGGAGACTTTATTACACTTGCAATAACAAGCGTCTTGTAATCGGGACCTAGACTTTTTTCCGTAAACAACAACTTTTCTTACAAATCTTAATTGCTTTACTATTGAACCTTAACAAAGTCCACATTCATTCCCACTAGGCCTAGATGTTCATCTTTGCACTCTAAGGCCTGGGGCTTCAGTCCCAATCGTACCTTATTTTTTCTAAAATCCTTTTTAGTCTTTTATTTAATCAATGTTTTTGGCTCACTTGGTGTCTGGTCTAAAATTTTCTGCTTTAATTTTACTTCGCAAGTTTTGCACCAATGATAATTTAATATTCAAAAGATTAATATGGCATGTTTGCCTAGATTTGACTTTTATCAAGATCTACGAAAATTTGTTGGACCTAGTTTTTTTCCATATTTTCTTTTTTTTCGACATGTTTTTTGCTTGTGTTGTATCACTAGTGACCCGAAGCTCCACTTCATCTGTGTTTGTTAAATGCTTATGGACGAAATAATTAATCGTTCACATAGGTTGTGAAAGCTTTTGATCATGTTCAGTTTCGATTTTTTGGGAATTAGCTTGCTAAAATTTGTTTGCTAAAGAACGGAAAATTCCGCTTTCAATTTCAACTAACTTAAAATCAAATGGCGCGAGCAAAAGTGATTGAGTTAAGTTTCAAACAAGAAAATCTCAATTTAAAGATTGCTCAGCAGATAATCACAATTTGAAGCAGTTTAATTTAGTTGAGATCGTTTTTTCTATATTTTTTTCCACTAAGCAACTTTTCAGCTTAATTCTCACAGGAACTCTATTTTGTTAGAAGATTCAATTAAATAAATTTTTTAGTGCATATGGAGTAAATTTTTTTTTTCAAATAAATGTTGAGAAAATGTTCAATTTTTTCCCGATTTTAGTTTTTCGTCCTTATTTCTGTCAGCTGAATTTCCGTTTTTTTATTGAAAAATATATTATCTGGTAAGAGCTTGAAGTAGTTCCTTTTTAACTCTGAAATTTTTTTAAAAGTTTTCGATTGAAACCATTTTTACTATAATTGAAAGTTGCTCTAAAAAGACATTTTCCAACTCTGATTATCAATAATTTGTTATTTCTAATTTTTTTCGGTTAAACGGATTCGGATTATGTTATATCGGCTTAGTCGACTTATGTTGGGCAGCCTCAAGGGCGATTTTTCTCTAGTGATTTCGCCTGTTTCAGGAAGGATAGATCTTATAATTTTTTATGTCAACAGAGTTTGGTATACGGCTTTACGAGGGTCGAAAAAATCCTGACGAGGTTCGACCTATGTTTTTTGCCTTAATTACCTCCAGGTCGTTGATTCTCAATGATTGTGAAGGGTGTTTATAGTGAGTTGTTTTCAATGCTCTTGGCTGTTTCAGGGGATGTGTCGTGAAAATTTTACTTTCAAAGTTGTATAGCTTGAATATATTCATTATCTCTATAGTTTTGTTTTCGGCTTAGCGAGAGTCGATCCAAAATTATTTGCCTTAGTTGCCGCTCGACCATTGTTTTCCAAAGCTTATTGAAGCTCTTTAGAACATATTACAAAACAAAGGTACGAAATGTTTGTAGATAATGTGTTTGGAGTTAATTTTCTGCTTAATTAAAAAAAAACTTCCTTCTTTTTCTTTTGAGTATCTTGTAGTGCAATTTTTTAATTGAATTGCGAGTCGATTTATGTTTTGCTATTTTAGGGGTGAATTTTTCTAGATGCTTTCGCTTGTTTCTGGAGGGATGTGTAGTAAAAATATATTTTTTTTATATTTCTTGTTTGTAGTTTCGTTTCTACTTTTTTATTTCTAGCTTCATTTCTGGCTCAACGAATTCGTTTTCTGCGATCCAGGTTTTTTGCCGTAGTTGCAGCTCGTTCATGCTTGCTGAGGCTCTTTATGATCATCGCCGGAGACAAAGGTTCGAAATTTTTGTAGAGTATTTTTTGAAATTTTTTCTAGTTATTTTTTTAAAGAGTCTTCATTCTTGTTTCTTTTCAATATTTTATAAAGGAATGTTATAATTGTATCGGAAGTGTTACGGAGCTCCGCTTTGATATTGTGTGATAAAAAAACGTTTGAAGAATCACATCTTTTTCTGTTACCTTGAGCTAATTGCATATTCTCCCTCTTCCTGTTGACTATGTAATTTTTCAAAAGGTAACAATGAAAATAATTTAAAATTGAATTTTACTGGCGATCATTTTTGTGAACTTGTCTGTTTAAGATTTGTTAAATTGGAATAGTTCAAGAGCGGTAAATTTCGGTCTTACATATCGTATCCGGCTACTCTTTCAGCAGAAAAATCATTCTAAATTCAACTCGGGCAAGCTATTTGGTCTGATCAACGCGGTTCAAGACGAGAGTTAAATCATTTTGTACTTAACATGAATGCGTGGGGTATTTGTCGGAAAAACTTTTTTAAATTTTTGTTTACGCATGTGGGTTGAAGTTTTTAATCGTTTTTTTTGGAGGCGTTTGAGATGTTCATCTTCTCTTCTAATTTCTGTTTAAACCATGTGTGTTTCGAAACTACGATTTGATCGAAGGCAAATGTAGAATTTTTATTACGCTTGCGATTATTTAACATTGACTCATCTGATTCTAAACATGGATATTTTTTGAAACAGACCAGGTAGGAAAGACGCCTGTATTATCCCACGAATCTACTTTTTTTTCCAAGCTCAAGTTATGAATATTGTTTAAACAGATCAGGTAAAAACGCTGATTTTATCCCACAAATCTACTTTTTTCAAGCCCAAGTTGCATAAATAAGTGTAATTTTCTTTAAAAGGGCATATTTATTGTATATATTTGTGGCTAGTTTTTAGATAGCTGCAAGTCTATATTGCGCAACCGGTATAGACTCCGAAGCGGTAAGAAAGATGTAGATTAGGATCTCGTGTTGTTTTATGTTTATCTTATTTCGGGTTGTTAAAGGTCTTCTCACTACCCGAAAAATTATTTTAACAAATTTTTGCGCTTGTTTACGTAGTGCAATTTTTCCTCTGCATGAGAGTGTAATAAGAGAAGCGTAGTGTCTTATTACGGTATCCATTTTTCCAACCTAGGTCGCAAACAAAAGGGTTCACTTCTGCTGGATAGCCTTGCACTTTTGCATTTGGTTTATTGGTTGCTAGTTTCTGTTTGATTAAAAACAGTTGTGATGAAAATGTGTATGATTTGATTTTTTATTGTTAATTTTGAGACGCTTTAGAATTTTGTTACTCTCGCAAATTTTTTCAGACTTTCAGGAATTACTTTGACAATAAAGAGGTTCAAATGAAAAATCTGGCTACTCACCTGTCTGCCTGTATATTCAATTAATGTCCTTCATTAATTAAGTCAAGCAAGTTTCTACCGTATTCAAAAATTTCAGTCTGTATATTTTGAACCATTGTTTTAAGATATTTTTTTTCTCGGAAACTAACCTGCCAAATTTGACACTAACATTTTATTCAAAAAAGCATAATATACCTTTGCCCAAGCACAAGCTACTGCGTCCTAATTTTTGAAAAAAGTACGGCGTTGAAAATTTCAAAAGTTTGAAACTTTGACGTTTTTTAAAACTTTTTTCTCAAAACCTTTTTTGTTTGGAATTTTCATCGCATGACTGTTATAGCCGAATTTTTTGTGAAATTTGAACGGTTTTTAGAACATTTTTGACTTTATATAAGAAGTAACGTGAGAAGTAACGTGTAATAAAGGCTTCAATCGGAAAAAAAACCTGTAGGTTCTCTCTTCGGAGAAGCACTAATTTTTGTAGGTACTTATTTTTAGGGACTCAGAATTTTTTTTTATACTTTCGGAATTTTTACTTGAGGCTATTGTCGAAAACTACCCAGGCTAATCTGAAATAAAGGGATTAATTGAAAAGCAAGTGCTAGGACTTTTCTCTGCATAGCAACTAACACCTAACTTTTGTAGAAAAGCAAAAATACTTTTCCAAATCTAAGATTAAGAGTTCAATCGAAAAATCATGCACTAGGGACTATCTTTTCAAAAAGTCTACGCCCTAACTGTTGTAGAAAAAAAAAATTGGACTTAGCTGCTGCGCGCTAAATGTTGTACAGAAGCAATGTTCGACTTAGTGGCTACGCCCTAAATGATGTAGAAAACGATATTGGATTTAGCTTATTCCCATTTTGTTTTGGAAGTTTTGAATTCTCACTTTTTGCATCAGTACAATTTTAAAAATGTTATCAAACAAAAGTTTCTGAATTTCAAGTTTGTTTATTGGTGATGTAATTTTTCTTAAAGTTCTAAAAATTGTCAAACAATCATTTGTTCTTGTTTTCGTTTCTTTCCCTTTTATCATGAGTTTTTGTCTTTTTGGTTTTTGAAATTGAATTTGTCGAAGAAAACAGAAAACTGAACGGAAACCAAATGGAAAACAAGCTACGCCCTTCGATAGCAATATAAAAAGGAGCGGAGTAAAAAAAAATCTTTTATCTTTTGAAAAATAGTTATTAATACTATTTGCATCGTAATTAAAAAACAAACAAACACATCGATCTTAAATTGAAAATTCTTTTTTAGTATGACTGCAGATTTTTTTAAAATTCAATTCAAAGCCATTTGCTACAAAGAAGGCAAGCTCCGCGGTCACATGAAAAAATCAAATGCCACAAAAAACATGAATGACCTTTCATTTCTAAAATACCATTTGAT